TCCTCCTCCTCCTCGTTTGTTTCCTCCTCCTCCTCCTCCTCTTCCTCCTCCTCCTCCTCCTCCTCCTCCCTGGCCGTGACGTCCTTGCCGCCGCCCAGAAAATAGGAGATCGGCAGTTGCATAAGTCCAGATCGTGACATCGCCAGGTCGAAGGTAGACGTCCCTGGCTGCGGGGTGAAGCGGATCCTCCCTGGCCGCATGGGCACAGCTTGCGGTTCATCATGTCGAGCACCGTCCTGTTGTTCTCGAGGCTGCGTTGCCCATGAGAGCCGGAATGTCGGAGTTGGGGGCCACTGGCGCCTGGTGCTCGATCTAATGCGACTTGCCTTGCACATCCTTCGCGACACCCGGCATCTTGATCTCATCCTGCGCGATCTGAGCGCTAGCTACGACGCCCTCCACGCCGATGGCTTTGTCCATCTCTGTCTGCATCGGCTCCAGCTTCGCGTTCCTTGCCAGCTCGCCCTGGCGCTCGACCCAGCGGTCGCCTACCAAATTGTCGTAGGCTCCCGGGTCGAGCAACAAACACTCCATGCCATCGAACCTCGTAGCTTCCAAAAACCTGCCTCGTCTTACCGCACCTCTCGAATACGGGGCCCACAACCCACTTCGCAGCTGAGGTGCCGACGCGTATTCCGGAAGCGTGGAGATCAGGTCCCACGAGGCTGATGAAGCGCAACCACGGCGAGCCCATTCATCAAAAAAACGCCTGGCCGGGAAGGCGACCCGCACAGGCGCGAGCCCTCCTTCATCCCGTCCTCGATATGGTAATGGTCGGACCTTCCAGGCAGTAGTCGTCCTCGTGCTTCGCCTCTGCCATCGGTGTCATGAAGAAGTTGCGCGTCGCTGCAGGCGCCGGCGGCTGCCCCGTGAGTTGCTGCCACTGCGGTAGAACGCTCGCAGGTTGACTGCCGCATTGGTCTTGAGCCGCCTTGCCCGCATCACCACCGGTCGTCATGCAGCCACTGCCGCCAGACATGGCCTGGCGCTTGCGATTCTCATCAGCTCCTGGAGCGTCGCACTTCCGCCACAGATGCTTGTCGCTTCCACAGCGGTCGCACTTCAAAGGCTGTCCGATAGCGCCGCGAGGGTGCGTCTTCTCTCCATTGCCTCTTCCCTTGCAGTACTCCCGCGAGTTCCCAAGCACAGTTGGGACAAAGAGCTCCATCGCCAGCTTCTGACAAAAATGACCACCCACTGCTGCGCTCAGATCGGACACCTTCCTTGCCCTTGCCTTTGCCCTTGCTTGAATACCGATGCTCACGAGGAGGTCGATCGGCGCGACGACGCGAGTGCTTCTTTGTCAGCGCGTAGATCTTGCACAAATCCTCGTCCGTCGCCTTCGGCCCAAGCTGAATCATAGTCTCCATCAACGCCTCGCCATAATCCTCGCTGGTCTCGGTAATATCTGGATCTTCTCGGTTGTAGAACACCTTCTGACAGGAGCTGCACTAGTTCTCGCTGGAAGATGACGACGCTGCTCCCGGGAAGTATGGCTGCTGACGACGAGGTCGTGCTTGAGTGCCCGCGTCTTGCTGCTGCTGGCTGGTGTCCGAGAAGAAGAACTGATCGGCGGTGCTGTTCGCCTGGTTCGTGTAGTGATGCTGCTGTCTGGACTGAAACGCTGCATGTGCCAATCCACTCCTTTCGTAAAGATGGTGCTGTCGCTTGATGGAGGAAGTCAGCGCCGTGAGCTCCGCCTCATTCGCTGGTGAGTTACCTTTAGTCATCGCAAGAAACTGAGCCCATTGTGGTGGAAGTATGCCTAGCGCGTTCAGCAACATCCACGCCAGGCTCGGCACCCCAATCTTACAATTGCCAAGGTGCTCCGCCTTAAACTTCAGAAGGTCGAACCTTGCCAGAGCTTGATCGATTGGTTCTCCTGGTCTGCGTCGAAATTCCACCAGACCTGTCACGCTCGTGATAGCGGTCTCGACCTCCAACGGCATAAACTTTCGTCGCGCCCCAAGCATATGAAAATCCGTTCCGGAGCACCATCGATGTCCATTGCCGTCTCAAAGGTCCATATAGACTCCTTATTGTAACTGTTCTGGCGGCACGCCCGACTTGCAGCACCACTGCTGGTACAATCGAGCGCTGAGGAATATCAGTCATCGCCTCCCACATGAGAACGTCAGTGATCCAATCTCGCAGTGGGTAGCAGCTTCACGACTGGGATCCCAATTCGGTGGCACCTTTGTGTTCGACTGCGCGATGAAACCCGCGGCCGGCACCGCTCCCTGAAGTTTGTTCGCCATGATGTCGCGCAGGGTGTTGTACTGTCCGTGCGTTCGGGAACGACGTTCGGCATTCGCGCACTGGGAGCAGGTACGAGATCGCACCTGCTCCGCTACCACGTTGTTTTCCACGCACTCCTCCTCCGCAGTCTGGTAGAGGAGGTAAAAATAGACCGGCGTGTCCGCCGTGGAAACTGAGCTGCAGCAAACCCTCGAGCCGATCAGGCACGAGGGGAAGAGCATGTAGGGGATGTTGTAGAGGAACAGCGTCGAAGTGATGACTTGCTCGTTTGTCTGGGTATGGAAAAAGGCTGGAGGCTGGGCCGCCGCGGGTAGGATTCGCACTCTGAGTGAGGCCTCTCACTAACCGGTTTGAGCCAAGATGCCGTCGACGCGTCTTGCTCCAATCAAACGTGCTTTACATATCCCGCTGAGCTTTCGACCCCTCCCGCGCGACTCGGGAGGACCCGGAGACTTCACTCATAGGTGTAGATGTGTGTGTGAGGTGTAGGTGTGTGTGTGGTGTAGGTGTAGGTGTAGGTGTAGGTGTAGGTGTAGGTGTAGGTGTAGGTGTAGGTGTAGGTGTAGGTGTAGGTGCAGGTGCAGGTGCAGGTGCAGGTGCAGGTGCAGGTGCAGGTGCAGGTGCAGGTGCAGGTGCAGGTGCAGGTGCAGGTGCAGGTGCAGGTGCAGGTGCAGGTGCAGGTGCAGGTGCAGGTGCAGGTGCAGGTGCAGGTGCAGGTGCAGGTGCAGGTGCAGGTGCAGGTGCAGGTGCAGGTGCAGGTGCAGTGCAGGTGTGCAGGTGCAGGTGCAGGTGCAGGTGCAGGTGCAGGTGCAGGTGTAGGTGTGCAGGTGCAGGTGCAGGTGCAGGTGCAGGTGGCGTAGGCGTAGGCGTAGGCGTAGGCGTAGGCGTAGGCGTAGGTGTAGGTGTAGGTGTAGGTGTAGGTGTAGGTGTAGGTGTAGGTGTAGGTGTAGGTGTAGGTGTAGGTGTAGGTGTAGGTGTAGGTGTAGGCGTGTGCGTGTGCGTGTGCGTGTGCGTGTGCGTGTGCGTGTGCGGCGCTCGCCTCGGCCGCCCGGGGTGATGTGGGGGGGCGCCACGGTGGGATGGCGGCGGCACGCGGGCGCTGTCACTGGGGCCTTCGGTGGAGCTTCCCATAGGTGTAGGTGTAGGTGTAGGTGTAGGTGTAGGTGTAGGTGTAGGTGTAGGTGTAGGTGTAGGTGTAGGTGTAGGTGTAGATATGGGTGTGGGTGTGGGTGTGGGTGTGGGTGTGGGTGTGGGTGTAGGTGTAGGTGTAGGTGTAGGTGTAGGTGTAGGTGTAGGTGTAGGTGTAGGTGTAGGTGTAGGTGTAGTGTAGGTGTAGGTGTAGGTGTAGGTGTGCGTGTGCGTGTGCGTGTGCGTGTGCGTGTGCGTGTGCGTGTGCGGCGCTCGCCTCGGCCGCCCGGGGTGATGTGGGGGGGCTGCTCGCCGCTCGGAGCAGCGCGACGATGCCCTGAGCAAAGGAGCGGCTTGGGCCAGAAATGCCTTGACCCTGGCATGGCTTGGGCCATGACTTGAGCCAACATGGATTGAGCCAAAATGGCCACGGAGGAGGGGGGAGGGAGGAGAGAGGAGGGGAGGAGGGTAGAGAAGGCAGGAGGGAGGAGGGAGGGGAGGAAGGGAGAGGAGGGATGAGGAGAGGAGAGGAGAGGAGAGGAGAGGACAGTACAGGAGAGGAGAGTACAGGAGAGGACAGTAGAGTAGACGAAGGAGGAGGGAGGAGCGAGGAGGAAGGAGGGAGTGAGGGGGGAGGAAGAGGAGAGGACGCGGAGGAAGGGAGATGAGGAGGCGGAGCAGCAGCAGCAGCAGGTTGGGGGTCGGCAGCGACGCCAGCGACGATCGGCATGGTGTCCATGAAGAGTTCCCTCCGAGAACCGCTGCTTGAAGCTCGCGAAATGCTCGGTGTTGTCCGCGGTCGAGGCCAGGGGCTTCCACGCCTCCAAGGGGAGGGGAAAATCCGCGGATGCGGCGCGTGAGTTGAAAGAAAAGAAACTTCAGCCTGAGCTTCAGCTCTGCTGGGGGGAATGCAGGGATGACTCTGCTGGGGAGGGGGGGAGAAAGGGGGGATCTTCCATTTCCGGGGCCGCCCCCACGCCGCACAGGGCAGGGTGCGGGGGCGGTCTGGCCAGGGAAACGGGGACGGGAGGGGGGGCAAGCCCTCCAATGCCGCCAAGACGGCCCAAGAGCGCTCCGACACGCCCAAAACGGCCCCAAGACGGACGAAGAGGCCACCAAGAGTCTCCAAGAACGTTCCCAAAAGACCCCCAATAGGGCTCCAAGATGGCCCCAAAACGCCCGGAAACGGCCCAAGAGGCGCCGAAGACGGCCCGCGAGGGCCCCAAGACGGCCCCAAAAAAGGGAAGATGAACAGAGGATTCGAACTTTTCGCCCCAAGACGCCCCCAGGAAGCCGAACGGGGCCCCAAAAAGAACCCGAGAGACTTCCAAAAGACTCTCAAAGAGGTCCCTAGAGGCCCCCCAGAGGCCCAGAAGAGGCCGCCAAACGGTCACCACGAGGCTTCACAACTCCCTCCAAGAGGCCCCCGAAAAGCTTCCAACGAGATCCCAACGAACCTCCACAAAGCATCGGACCCACAACCCAAGCACGGTGGCGGGATGGGCCGGCCGCAGGATTCGCCGCCCCCTGCTGGCTTCCTTTTCCCGAAAATAATCCCCCTGGGGCGTCGGTCAACTGCGCCGCGCCGGCCGCCCAGAAGGGACCGGAAACAACCTCAACGTCCGCAACAAATCCCTCAAGACGGCTCAACATGGCCTCTCCGACGGCCAGAGTGCCTCAAGATGGCATTCAAGATGCCTCCAAGACAATCAAGACGGCCCCAAGAGACCCCAACATGGCCCCATCATGCCCCCAAGACGGCCCAAGATGGCCTCAAAACGGCCCAAGAGGCCTCCGATGAGGTCCTCCAATATGATTGAATTGGCTAAGTTTTTGAAGGATTCTGCTTTTGCCAAGGTAACCCCATGACGACCCCAAGAAGCCTCCAAGACGGCCCAAAGTGGGCCCCAAGATGGCCCCAAAGGTCTCCAAAACGCTCGAAGTGGCCTACGGGACGGCCCTCGAGCGCCCCACGAGGCCCCCAAGTCGGTCCAAAGAGATCCCAACACGGCTTGCGACGGCATCATAAGGGGCCAGGAACACCGGAAGACGGCCAAAGAGGCCCCCGAAAAGTCCCCAGAGGCCCCCGAAAGCCCAAAGAGGCTTCCAAGAGGCCTCCGAAAGGCCCATAACAAGCCTCCATTCCTTCTCCTCATAAATAACGTTTCCCTGTCGCACCCCGTTTCGCCTGAGACGTCCTCACCGCTTATGACCCTGAAACCGAACAATTGGCAACAGCTTCACAAATGGATGGCGGGTGGTGTTCAAAATGCGGTTCTCGCCTTAGCGCCCAGCACAATCGTTGAAAATTACCGTGCTTGAATTTCATGGGTTGAGGGCGGGTGGTTTGCGAAATGCGGTTCTCGCCTTAGCGCCGCGCACATTCTTTTTCAAACTTCGCAAAAAAAAAACTTCACGGATTGAGGGCGGGCCGTTTTCAAAATGTGGCTCTCGCCTCAGCGCCGCGCACATTCAATCGACAAACTTCTGTCTGGCGCTCATCCCCACCAAACCACACGATGCTCGTCCAACATCAGACAGAACGGGCAGGAGTAGAGAATGCCAACGATACGGATTCCCTTGGAAACGTATCAGCCCCGCGGCTGTAAATAAGTTGTGTGATACCCCTACAAGGTGGCCCAAAAGGCCACGCCAATAATTCAACACAACATTATGCAAACAAGAGGAGGAGGAGGAACCAGAGGGGCAGAGGGCGAAAGGGCGCCAACTACGCGCCGCAGCAGAGGGGCATGCACAAGGAAGGAATAATTGTCCCTATTTCTAACAGTCCTACGGGGGAGCCGGAGAACACAACAGAGCAAGAGGAGCAGAGCGAAAGAGGAAGAGACGGCAGAGGACAAGGGAAGAAAAGGACGACAGAACAAAACAAGCAGCGAAAACACTAAAGCAGGCCGATGAGACGGAAGTCACAGGTAGAAATAGAAGCGGATGAACTGGTAGCGGAGGTCCTTCTTGTGATAGCCGCTCCCGAAAAGGATGGAGGCCGATGGGTGGTTGGAGACGGGTACAGGTGTATTTTGAGATGGCCAATCGAAAAACTAGGAGAGCTTCACGGATTGAGGGCGGCTCCTTTTCAAAATGTGACTCTCGTCTTAGCGCCGCGCACATTCTTTTCAAACAATGCACGAGCTTCGCGGGTTCTCAGGATCGCCGTACCAGAATTAGCGTTGTGGAACGGTTCGCGATCATGAAGGCGCAACAGTTACGATGATTCGCGGTGTTGAAGTCCCAAAAACGCCGCTCTGGCGCGACTCGGAATCGCCAAAACGCAACAGTCAATTTGATCCGTGGCGTAGGAATCCCGACAACCATGTTTTTGGGTGCCTGGCGCGCTACACTTGTCAAAAATGCCCGGCTATCTTCAAAACTCAGCTTGGGGTTTCGGCCAATGCCGCCAGCCACCCGGGACTCCGCCGAAACTACGTTTCCCGTCGCTCAAATCACCTTTTAAACGGCCAAGCTCGCCCGACATGGCCTCCAAGATGCTTCCGAGACGGCCAAAATGTACTCCATGACGGCCCAAGGGGATCTAAGATGCCTCCAACTGCGCCCGAGAATCTACCAAGACGGCCCAAAACGGTTCCAGGATGGCACAAGACGGCCTAAGAACCCCCAAGCGGCCTCCAAGTCGGCCCAAGGGGCCAAGAAGGGCCGAAGAGGCCAAAATTACCCAGGCGAAAGACACAACCGTACGCAGCGGCGAGTGCCGCAATCGTGAGCACCGTCTTCGGCGGAGCTCCTTATGGGGGCATGAAGCGCGCGACGGGTGCGCCACGGTGGGATGGCGGCGGCACGCGGGCGCTGTCACTGGGGCCTTCGGTGGAGCTTCCCATAGGGCTTTCGGGGCGGTTTTCTCTGTCCGCGATCTGTTCGATGGGGGGCGCGAAGAAATCTAGACCGTCCAAGATGGCACTTCCCTTGTTTTTCTCCCTCTTCGCCCGCGCACTCCAGCGTCCACGGCTGCAGACGTAGCGCAGCGCGGAGTCCCCGCGTCGCGCGCCGGTTGCCCCGACGGGGTCCCAGCGACGGGCTCGGGTCGTCCGCTGCGCGGAGCAGAGAGAGCTAGCTGGCTGGCGAAGAGCGGGCAAAGATATGGCCGCTGGGCAGAGCAACAACGGGCGAGCGAAATGCTGGGCAGAGCGCAGCACGGAGTTCCCGCGACGCGCGCTGGTCGCCCCGAGAGGATTCCAGCGACGCGCGGGGGTCGCCCGCGGCGCGAGGCCAAACAGTTGGACAATCGAGAGAAGGCGCTGCTCGGGCGGGCCAGCTCCCCAGGTCTGGCCTCACGGATAAACTCGGTGAAGCCTGGCTCCCCGGCGAGAGCCGTCGCCTCCCTCCTGCACCGTTTCGTGCGCGCCGCAAACTGCTCCAGCTGTTTCCTCAAGCCTTCCGGCGGCCTGCGGCGGGCGGGGAGAGCGCATGTGGACGCTTCCGCTGGGGCCTTCGGTGGAGCTACCCATGGGGCCACGATCCGTGTGAGGGGTGCGCCGAAGTGGGCATGCGGTGGGCGAGGAAGGCGCATGTGAACGCTGCCACAAGGGCCTTCGGTCCAACTCCCTACGGGGCCACGATCCGTGTGAGGGATGGGCATGCCGAGATTGGCATGCGGCGGGCGGGGAGGGCGCATGTGAACGCTGCCACAAGGGCCTTCGGCCCAACTCCCTACGGGGCCACGAACCGTGTTAGGGGTGCACCGAGATTGGCATGCGGCGGGCAGGGAGGGCACATGTGGACGCTGCCACTGGGGCCTTCGGTGGAGCTCCCTGAACCGTGAGGGGTGCGCCGAAATTTGCATGCGGTAGGTGGGGAGGGCGCATGAAGACGCTGCCACAAGGGCCTTCGGTGGAGCTCCCAATGGGGCCACGAACCGTGTGAGGGGTGCGCCGAGATTGGCATGCGTTGGGCGGGGAGGGCGCATGTGAACGCTGCCAGGGGCCTTCGGCCCAACTCCCTACGGGGCCACGAACCGTGCGAGGGGTGCACCGAGATTGGCATGCGGCGCGCAGGGAGGGCGCATGTGGACGCTTCCACTGGGGCTTTCGGTGGAGCTACACATGGGGCCACGATCCGTGTGGGTTGTGCGCCGAAATGGGCATGCGGTGGGCGAGGAGTGCGTATGTGGACGCTGACACTGGGGCCTTCGGTGGAGCTCCCCATGGGGCTACGAACCGTGTGAGGGGTGGGTGTGCCGAAATGGGCATGCGGTAGGCGGGGAGGGCGCATGAAGACGCTGCCACTGGGGCCTTCGATGGAGCTCCCAATGGGGCCACGAACCGTGTGAGGGGCGCGCCGAGATTGGCATGCGGCGGGCGGGGAGGGCGCATGTGGACGCTGCCACAGGAGCCCTCGGTGGAACTCCCTACGTGGCCACGAACCGTGTGAGGGGTATGCCGACATGGACATGCGATAGAGCATAGACAAAGGTGAGAGGAGGGAGCAGGGGGAGGAGGAGGAAGGAGGAAGAAACGCGGGGCGCTCTCTTCAAAACGAGGACCCAACACCACATGATGGTTGGGAAAAAATGCTGTTCCAACGGTGCGTGAAAGATGTTGGCATTCGCTTCAAAACGGTCTCCCGCCTGCCCAAGCCGGCCCAAGAGGCTCCCAAGACTGCCCCAAGATCGCCAACGAGGCCTCCAAGACGGCCCCAAGACGGCCCAAAAGGCTCCCAAGACGGCCCCCAAAGGGCCCCAAGGCGGCCGAAGAGGCATGCAAGACGCCCAAGATGGTCTTCAAGACGGCCCTGAAGCGCCCCAAGAGGGCACCAAGACGGCCCAGGGAGGCTCCCAAGACGGCTTCCGACGGCGTCAACGGGCCAGGAACGCCTTAAGACGGCCAAAGATGCCCCAAAGAAGCTCCCAAGGAGGCACCCAAGATGCTGCCAAGAATCCCCCAGGAAGCTCCCAGACCAAAGAAGCTCACAAAAGGTCTCCTCATCCTTCTCCTCATCCTCCTGTGTCCTTCCTCTCCTCATCCTCTTCTTCCTTCCCCACGTGTTTCCCGAAGGGCTTCCACAACGGCTGGGGGAACGCATGGTCCAATAGCGTGGCCAAACTTTACACAAACGTTTGGCCGCATACTATGTGGCCAAACGTTTATGCAAAGTTTGGCCGACCCCTACGCCTATGTCATAGGCGAAAGGGGTCGGCGGTGATTCGCCGAAGGCGTTTTCGATAAGAGAAGAGAGAGAGAGAGATACATATGAAAGGAAGGAACGATCCGCCCAACCACACACCAGCGAGCCAAACTGTCCGGGAACTAGTCCGCCATCAAGCTCGACAGACGGACACGAGGTAAACAGTCAATCCTAGACAAACAGGCTGAGGCGACTGCGAACATCCTCCTCCCCCTCTTGATCCTTCCCCTCCGCCTCCTCCTCCTCCTCCTCCTCCTCCTCCTCCTCCTCCTCCTCCTCCTCCTCCTCCTCCGTCGCTCCTCGTCTTCATCTTCCTCCTCCTCCTCCTCCTCCTCCTCCTCCTCCTCCATCGCCGCTCCTCCTCCTCCTTATACCTCCTCCTCCTCCGCCGCTCCTCCTCTTCCCCACCCCCATCCTCCTCCACCGCCTCCTCCCTCCTCATCCTCTATCCTGCCTCCTCGAGGTAGAGCTCACAAACTGCTAATCAGGACCAGCTCGCACAAAACATCCTGGCGCGTCCGAGATCGGCGGCACAGGCCGGAGACCTCTACAGCATGGGAAGTAGCGACTAAAGGGGGCAATGAGGGAGCGAGGCGGCCCACGATGAAGAGCAAGGAGCAAGGCGCGAGCAGGAACAGGGGCCATGATCTTAGGACAAAGCAAGAGGAGCAAGGAGAATGAAGAGGAGGAGAGGAGGGGGAGGGAGGAGCGAGGAGGGGCCAGGGGGAGGGAGGAGCGAGGAGAAGGAGAGGTGAGGAGGAGAAGGAGAAGGGAGAGAGGATGAGAAGCAGCAGCAGCAGCATCAGGCAGCAAGAGGCCTCCTCCTTGGGAACGGTGTTTGGAAGGAGGGGCGACTGAACGCTCTTGCGCGGGTCTTCCAGGATGTGCGCGGGGCCCTTGTGCATGCGGTCCTGGCGCTGTAGCGACAGAGCACCCTCCCCTCAATCTTTCTCCTCCTGATCCTCATTGTCTTCCTCCTCCTCCTCCTCCGCCTCCTCCTCTTATTATTACTTTGAGTATGCTTAGTGTTACTATGTGTTCTTAGTCGTAGTACTATTATTATAAGTATCACTAGCATTCGCATTCGCAGTGGTAGTCTTCTTTTTCGTCGTATTAGCGTAGTCTTCTTCGTCTTTTTCTTTTGAATATTAGTATGCTTATTAGTATGATTAGTCGTCGTATTGTTATTACGCTTGCAAGTATTATGATGAGTACTCTTGTAATTGTATGGTTATCAGTATTATGCCTCCTCCTTCTCTTCATCCTCCTCTTCCTCATCCTCTTCCCTCCCCCCACCTCCTCCTGCTCCTCATCATCCTCATCATCAGCATCGTCAGCATCCTACTTCCTCTCATCATCATCATCATCATCATCATCAGCATCATCATCATCATCATCATCATCATCATCATCATCATCATCATCATCATCATCATCATCATGCATCATCATCATCATCATCATCATCATCATCATCATCATCATCATCATCATCATCATCATTGTCATCATCATTGTCATCATCATCATCATCAGCAGCAGCATCATCAGCAGCATCATCAGCAGCATCATCAGCAGCATCATCATCATCATCGTTGCCTTCGCCGTCAGCATCATCAGCAGCAACATCGTCGTCAGCATAATCATAGTCAGCATCAGCAGCATCATCACCCGCATCATCATCATCACCAGCAACAACATCATCATCATCATCATCATCAACATCATCACCGTCATCATAATCAATCGTCGTCGTCCCGCCCCATCCCTTTATCGCCTCGTCATCGTCATAGTCGTCGACATCGTCATCGTCATCGTAAACCGTCATCGTCATCGTAATCGTCATGATCATCAGCATCATCAGTGACATCGTAATCCCCTTCATGCTCATCACCACTATCGTCACCATGATCACCCTCCTCCTCGTCTTGATTAGCCGCCTAATCCGTCCTAGATTTGCGTGTTACCCCTCATGCAAAATCATAGTTATGATACCGCCGTCCATCGGTCTCTGCTGTTCCTCCCCCTCCTCCTCCTCCTCCTCCTCCACCTGCTCCGCCTCCTCTTCGTCCTCCTCCCCCTCCTCATCATCATCATTATCCTGATCCTTTTTCTCCTCCGCGTCCAATTCCTCCTCCGCCTCCTCCTTGATAGCGGTTAAGGGCAAAGCGAATTCCACAAAGTCAGACGCCGAACTTTTCGATGGAATCGAGCGCTGCCACTTTTTTGGAAATGAGGCGGCAGGCCTGCAAAGGAAGCAAGTGCCAAGGTACCCGCCTGAAGACCTTGCCTCAGCATCTGATCGGCACGTGGATTTCTCGTTTCAAGGTGGTCAGCACCATGCTCGGCGTCGGCGGGGTCATGACTGCTACCACTGGCACGTTTGATGACACCACTGGCCGCGAGAAGCATGCCAGTCAATCTCCGGGACCTCGTCAGCGTCGCGCCCCGGTCCCTCCTACTGAGAATCGGCATGCGATGGAGTGGCATCATGGGTCCTGGAGGAGGGTGTAAACTGTGCCCGGCGAGCGCACAGCGATAAGGCCAAGGTTGTGCTCCCTCGCAAGTTTTGCAAGAACAGGTGTTTCATCCCATGGGCGCTGGAAGCAGGCTTAGGAGGAGGCGGAAGAGAAAAAGGAGGAAAAGAGGACAAGGGAGATACAAACAGGAGGACGGAGATGATAAGGAGGAGAGGGGGGAGGAGGAGGACTCGCGCCGACCAGGCTCCTGTGGAGGGGCCGCGACGGCACACGCTAACTCGTGTGGACCAACATCGATTGCATCGCAACTGTGGCGCGCACACGAGCGCAAAAGCGCGCGTACCGCTTCCGGCATGTCCCGAAAACCCCTGGGACCGCAACGCCACGACGCGTAGGAGCATAAAGGCACGCGGCTGCCAGGAGGCACGCGGTTGCCTGATGGTGGGTACCCGCATAAGGGCACGGGGCTTCCAGAAGAGATGGCTGGTCGCCCTGCGTTGCACAAAAGAGCTTGCCTTCTTGGAATCAATCGGCCTCCCTGTGCTCAGCGGCGAACTCAGGACTCCTAGGACCAAGCAAAAAAAATGCAGGAGGATGCGGAGCCCTCGCCCGTCCTGTAGCCTCGGGAAATCAAACCTCAAACGCTCAAGGTCCAGGTCGACTTGCGGCCCTACCTGAACAAAAACAGAAACCTCACCGATCAAGGGCGCCCGGCATCCTCCAAAGCCAGGAGCAACCGAGACGGGGGTGGGGTAACAACCGAAGGCGGCTCCAAAACTCTGCCAAAGGGCCAGAGGGTGGAGAGCTTCTGTCCTGTGGCCCCTGTGAGAATGCCCCTTTTAGTGTTGCAGAAGTCCTTGAGGGAGGTGGATGGGTGGCGGTGGCGCATGAACTGCTTCGCCCTCGCCGACGCCAAATGCCCACACCTCATACAGAAAATCACAGAAATTCCTGCCCCCTCATTCAAGGCGACCCAAAGAGAATGTGGGCATGTAGGATCCGAGGCACGCCTGACAGCCTCGGTGAATGAAGGAAGGAAAGAGAAACGCCGAGAATTTTCAAGCTGTTTCGCTCCTCGACGGTGGCACTGTTGGCATTTTCAGCCTCTGGCACACAATCCCATACAGGACAATGAGGGCGACGTGGTGTCGGGAAAGCAGCAACACGAGCAAATTCGCGGCAGGCCCCCATACAGCTCCTGGAGGAGGGGCACAAAGCAAAAATTTGACACATATTCCGCGCAACATCTTTATCGGAGGTTGGGGGATGAGTCCGACGTGAAAAAGACACCCCCCGTGCCGAGAAATCGATTTCGGTTTCGGGTTCGTGTCGCGCGTGCCGCGCGCGTGGGCGGGCGAGAGGAAATCCTCATGTGGCCGGGCCGCGGCCGGACCAAATGTAACTCCTCTGGGGGCCGGTGCCGCGCGGTGTCCCGCCGGTGTCTCGCTGGTGTCCCGAAATCCTCCTGTGGCTGGGCCGCGGCTGGACCAAATGTTTCTCCTCTGGCGGCCGGTGCCGCGCGGTGTCCCGCCGGTATCCCGTGGTGTCCCGTGGTGTCCCGTGGTGCCCCGTTGAGTGAGATCGATCGTGAAATCGATACTGAGATCGACGTGCTGGCCCGAGGTGTCCCGTGGTGTCCCGTGGTGTCCCGTTGAATGAGATCGATACTGAGATCGATAGTGAGATCGACGTGGTGCCCCGAGGTGTCCCATGGTGTCTCGCGGTGTCCCGCTGCGTGAGATCGATAATGAGATCGATAGTGAGATCGATCATGAGATCGATAGTGAGATCGATCGTGAATCTCGTGGTCTCGCGGTGTCCCGAGATGTCCCAGGGTGTCCCGTTGAATGAGATCGATAGTGAAATCGATCGTGAAATCGATAGTGACATCGACGTGGTGCCCCGAGGTGTCCCGTGGTGTCCTATGGTGTCCCGCCGAGTGAGATCGATCGTGAAATCGATAGTGAGACCGATAATGAGATCGAGAGGTGTCCCATGGTGTCCCTTGGTGTCCCGTGGTGTCCCGTGGTGGCCCGTGGTGTCCAGTGGTGTCCTGTTGAGTGAGATCGATAGTGAGATCGATAGTGAGATCGTCAAATGTCCCGTGGTGTCCCGTGGTGTCCCGTGGTGTCCCGTCGAGTGAGATCGGGAGTGAGATCGATTAGGTCAGACGTTGGTTCCCCCCCCCCTCCCCCCCCAGAACCTCCTTATCACCCGAGGGGTGGTCGTATAGGTATAGTTTCACGGCCTGCTGGAACGCCTTGAGGTATGCTTGGCACATGTCGTTCGCCATGGCTGCCTGTTTGGTTGCATGGTCTGCAAGCTGGCTGCCTCGAATGTGGCACAGCTCCAGATCAAACCTGGTCTGATCCTCGTCTGGGTGGGCCTTCACCTTCACACACTCAAAAGCCGGCCGGCCAGAAATTCTCCAGAAAACAGCGTGAGGCGACGAGTGGCGTTTCGCGACAAGGTGATTGGCCGCTCCCCAGACTACTGTTTGACAGTCAACATGTAAAACAATTTTGAAATCGGCACAAACAAGCGGGGGCTCGGGTCCTAAGTCCGAGGGCTCCGTGGGCCCCAGGTGCTTTCGGAACATGCACGCGGCCATGTGATCCGCAACTGAGGCACTCTGTGGCGCCTCATCTGGGACTGGCCCCCTGATGCCTCTGACTAGCTCCCCAGATTCAGAACGCTCGACAGCCGACCAGCCCGCTCTATCAACTGAAGGGATAGAACCATCAATACATGATCCATCGCTGTATGTAGTGACGAACGCCGCTTCTCTTCGCGAGGAAGGGTTCAATCAGCCCTCCTTCCTCCTTCCCCCCTCCTCCTTCCTACTTCCTCCTTCCTCTTTCCTCCTTCCTCCTTCCTCCTTCCTCCTTCCTCCCTTATCCTTCCTCCTCCCTCCTTCATCCTTCTTCCTTCCTCCCTCCACCCTCCTCCTCCTTCTCCTCCCTCCTACTTCCTTCCTCCTTCCTCCTCCCTCCTCCCTCCTCCTTCTCATCCTCCTCCTCCTCGTCCGCCTCCTCCTCCTCCGCTTCCTCCTCCTCCGCATCCTTCGCCTCCCCCTCCTCCTCCTCCTCCTCCTCATCCTCCTCCTCCTCCTCCTCCTCCTCCCATCCCCTCCTCCTCCGCCTCCGCCCCCCCTTCTCCTCCTCCTCCTCCTCCTCGTCCTCTTCCTCCTACGCCTCCTCCTCATGCTCCTCCTCCTCCGCCTCCTCCGCCTCCTCCTCCTCCTCCTCCACCTCCTCCTCCTCCTCCTCCTCCTCCGCCTCTGCCGCCTCCGCATCCGCCGCCGCTGCCGCCTCCTCCTCCTCCTCCTCCGCCTCCTCCACCTCCTCCTCAGCCTCCTCTTCTTCCTTCTCCTCCTCATCCTCTTCCTCCGTGTAGTCCTCGTCTGCGAGCTTGGTGAGCTGGCAACCCTCGGTCTCGCCGAAGTAGCACTTGCAGTACTGCGACTCCCGGGAGCACAGCGCCCAGCTGAGCACGCTGCTGCCGTAGCAATGCTCGTCCTTCTTCTCCCTGCTCGGGGACGGGATATGGACGCAGGAGGAGGGGGCCGGGGGGAGGGGAGGGGAGGGGAGTAGGGAGCACAGGCCAGCGGGTGAATGCCCCTCCGCCCGAAGCACCAGAGGGTGGGTGCCTGTGGTTCGCGAGCGCTGCGCCGCTCTCCGGGCTGGGGCAAAAGCTCCGCCTCGCTCGCCTGCCGCGCCCTCGACACTCTTGCACCGCCCGGCGTGCGGCCTCTCCCCCTCGCAACGCGCCCCGCCCCCTGGGCTGGGTGCGAACTGTTGCAGCTGACTTTTTGCGGGGACGCTGCCCACGCTGCCCCCGAACGCCGCGGCGGGTTGCGCCTGCTCCCGCAGCGCGCGCTCCACTCGAGCCCGCGGCCTCGCGCCAGGGTAGCGGCTGCGGGCCGCCGGGTCGCCTGCGAGGTCTGCGGTGCGCCCTGGCCACCAGGGAACGGCCAGGAGCACGCCGCGCACGCCCACGCAGCCGCGGGCACCGGCGCAGGAGACGGCGGAAGACGCCGCGACCCCTGCCGCAGGAGTGGCTGCTGATTAGTGCGCGCTGGGTGGCCGTGGCGCTGCCGTGTTCCCGTCGGATGGCTTCTGGCGCCTGGCCGCTGTGCAAACGCCTCAGGCCGACGAGGCGCGCTCTCAGAGTCCGGCGTGCTGGCAGTCGGCTGCAACCCATGTTACACACAGCTGAGGACTCGGATCAGGCGCCGCAGTTCGTGTTCGCGGTTTCGATTGGCGAGTTGCAGACTGGTGGATACTTTGGGTGTCCATGATCATAATCCTCCTCGTCTTCTTCCTCCTCCTCCTCGTCCTCCTCGTCCTCCTCCGCGTCCTCCTCCTCCTCCTCCTCCTGCTCCTCCTCCTCAGCAGCAGCAGCATCAGCATCAGCATCAGCGCAATCATCATCAGCATCATCATAATCAGCATCATCATCATCATCATCATCATCATCATCATCATCATCATCAGCATCATCATCATCGTCATCATCGTCATCATCAGCAGCAGCAGCATCAGCATTATCATCCTCATCATCCTCATCATCCTCATCATCAGCATCTTCTCCATCATAATCATCTTCATCGTCAGCATCATCACCACCATCAGCATCATCATCATCATCATCATCAAAATCGCCATCATCAGCAGAATCATCATCAGCAGCAGCAGCATCAGCATCAGCACCATCATTATCAGCATCAGCATCCGCAGCAGCAGCAGCATCATCAGCATCAGCATCAGCATCATCATCAGAATCATCATCATCAGCATCAGCATCATCACCATCATCGTCAGCAGCATAGTCATTATCATCGTCATCAGCAGCATCATCAACATCACCATCATCTCTGATCATCATCAGAAACATCGTCATCACAATCAGCAGCAGCACCATCAGCATCACCATCATCAGCACCATCATCACCATCATCAGCAGCAGCATCATCATCAGCATCACCATCATCGGCAGCAGCATCCTCATCATCGTCATCAGCATCAGCAGCAGCATCATAAGCATCAGCATCACCATCATCATGAACAGTATTAGCATCATCTTCAGCATCGTCATCATCATCAGCGTCATCATCACCATCAGCAGAATCATAATCAGCATCTAATCATCAGCGTCATCATCATCATCAGCATCCTCATCATCACCATCATCAACCATCAGCATCATCAGCAGCAGCAGTATCATCAGCCTCAGCACCATCAACATTCTCATCATCAGCAGCATCAGCATCACCATTATCATCACCATCATCAGCAGCATCGTCAACAGCATCATCAGCATCATCAGCAGCATCGGCGTCATCGCCAGCAGCATCAGCATCGTCATCATCAGCATCATCATCAGTATCGTCGTCATCGCCATTGACAGCAACGCCATAATCAGCATCAGCAGCATCATCATCAGCAGCAGCATCATCAGCAGCACCATCATCAGCAGCACCATCATCAGCATCAGCATCATAGCATCAGTACCATCAATCGCATGACCAGTATTATAATCAGCATCACCATCGGCAACAACATCATCGTTGTGACCATCGCCAACAACAACTTCAGCATCGTCAGTATCATCAGCAGCAGCAGTAGCAACAGCATCATCATCACCATAATCATCATCAGCCTACGCATGGTCCCCTCCCCCCAAATTGCATAGACTGGCTGACCAGCGATCCTCCTCCGCTGCATCGCTCCAAGTGCGTCCCTGGAGTTGTGCACTTACGTCACGTCACCTACGGCTGGCAGGACTACTATTAGAGCGGTACATCGGAGGGTTCAATAACTATCCCTGTTTGCTAGACTTGCCCTTGTGGCACGGATTATTTCGCGAACTCAATTCAGGGTTTTTCTTGAGCAAAGCCTTTCTTGTTGTACTGCTTGGTTTCCCTACTACTGCCCTTCTGCTTCCGCTGCCTCTCTGTCCGTTGTGCTTCCTAGACTGGTTGACTGTACCGAGGGTGGTGACGTGCGGCTCGGTTGAGCCGTGCGATCCGTAGTGGACACCTGGGATAGCATCAAGGGCCCATACGGTATCAATCGGTATGAGCCGTAAGAAATCCACTCAGCGGTGCGCAGGACCTGTCAAGTCGCCCTCGCGTTCTAGTTGTCCTTCTTGCAGGTGGGTTCGCTCTGATCGGGGATCTCGGGGGGGGGGGGGCAGAGGAGGAGCTCGGGCGGTGGAGGTGCCTTCGCGCCTATATCATTCCCATCCGCTCCCAGCTTGCGCGGTGCGTTGCCAGCTAGCCCACAGCCTTGTGGCCCTCCTCCACATCCTCCTCCTCCTCCGCCTCCTCCTCCTACTCCTCCTCCTCCTCCTCCTCCTCCTCCTCCTCCTCCTCCTCCTCCCTCCGCCTCCGCCTCCGCCTCCGCCTCCGCCTCCGCCTCCTCCTCCGCCTCCACCTCCGCCTCCGCCTCCTCCTCCTCCTGCTTATCCTCCTCCTCCTCCTCCTCCTCCTCCTCCTCCTCCTCCTCCTCCACCCGCCCCCCCTGTGGTTCTTGCTCTGCGAGCTCCCTTGGCAGCGTGGACACATTGAGGGGAGCCCGCTTGGGCGGCGGAGGTGGCAGCCGAGCGCCTCCCCGACGCGGGCCCCGTATCCTGCAATCTCGTCCGACGCCCAGCCCGTCATCATGTTGCACCATGATGTTCATGTGTCTCGATCTCGTCCCTCTTTTGTTCTCGTGGTTTGCTTCAGCATTGTGCATCCCGTGTTTCCCCGCGGGGCACCGCGGGCCACAGACGCTACGGGCGCACCAGCGCGCCCTCCAGCCTGCGCAAGGAAAAAGGAGGGAGGGAGGGAGGGAGCGAGGGAGGGGGGAAGGAAGAGAGGTCTCCAGAACTATGCACTTACACCGATCCTGGCCAGGGCCATCCTGAGCCTAGGATCGGTGCATACGCCCTCTGCCTTGGCCAGGAAGGAATATGCACCGATCCTGGGCCAAGGGTGAGCCTGGCGAGGATCCGTGCATGTGCATAGTTCTCTTCGCCCGAAGAAGAGGGTTTTATAAGTCAGCATCGGGGATGAACACAAACAGCGATAGCAGTGGCCTGCAATCTCGTTGTGGCAAGAACGACGGTACTATACCAATCGGTAGACCCCTCTGCACGGGAGGCAAGAGCCTCTCGTAAGATCGCGAAGCGCTGGCGCGGCCTGGGGCTCGAGCGGCATAGCGGGCTGCACAGGGACAGGGGCCGCTGCGGGAGTGCAGCGTATTGATTGTGACGACTAGGCTAGCAGACATGCATGAGTCTGTGCGTGGCTGGTCCCTCCGCGTTGCTTTTGAAATTTGCAATCGTACACAGCTGGTCCCTACGCGTTGCGTTTGGAATCTGCTACCGTGCATAGCTGGTCCCCAGAACAGAGGCAGGAAAGAAGACGAGCGAAGACGGGAAGAATAAGGAAGGAGCAAGAAACAGTCCGGAGAGCAGGAGGGGGGAAACGGGAAGAAGGGCGGGGGGGAAGGAGGAGTGGACCACTTCGCCGCACGCACACACCTGGACCTCTCTGACGTCGTGATACTTCACAGGCGCGGAACCCAAGAGGTCTAGATCCTTTCCAGGGACTGGTTTAGAGACCTCCTAAGAGGGGTCGGAGTACATGGGGTCGGAGGATCGCGCCGCATCGCCGATACATCGGCGACATATCGGCGATGCACCGGCGATGCTCCGGCGATGCATCGTCGACGTCAGCGATGTATCGGCGACGTCGACGTGAAGCAAATCGGGTTCAACATCGAGCCGCCTCGAAGGCGTTTCTTTATGTTCGGCGATGACGGGCGTCATGGGGGAGGGGGGGGGGGCGGGGGGGGTATGACGTGACGCCCCCCCCCCCCCCGCCGTGTGGTTCCGGCACCACAGCCGCGCCCGCGCGCACGACGCGACGAGCGACGAGCGACGACGACGACGACGCGAGCAGCATGTAAGTGGCGATCTGCCCATTGCGCCTGTGTGCACCACAACGCTCGCGTGCACCACGCCGCCCGCATGCACCACATCCACACGCGCTCCATTTTGTCACAAGGATTCCTTCTGAAATTCTATACACAACAATGGTGCTGTGTTGCACACGGCTGATGTGGTGCACACAGGCGCCGTGGCGTACACAGGCACTGCAATGCACGCAGGCATTGTGGTGTACACTGGTGCTGTGTTGCGCACGGCTGCTGTGGTGTACGGAGGCGCTGTGGTGTACACAGGAGCTGCTGTGCCCGCAGGCACGGTGGCACAAACTGACGTTGTGTTGCACGCGGCTGCTGTGGTGTACATCGGCGGTGTGGTGTACACAGGCGCTGTGGTGCACACGGGCACTGTGATGTACACAGGCGTTGTGGTGCATATCACCACCTACATGTTCGTGCTACCCGTCCTCCGTCATTCCTAACCATTCCCAAGCGCCGCCGGCGCGAAACGTGACGTCATCGACCCCCTCCCCCCCAGATGATTGCCGTCATCGGCCCAGACTTACAAACAGGCTCCAGCCGCGTCCGTGCGCACGACGACGATGAGCGACGAGCAACGAACCACGAGCGACGAGCGACGAGCGACGAGCGACGACGACGACGACGACGACGACGGAGAAGACGACGACGACGACGACGACGACGACGACGACGACGCCTGCGGACCAGACACCTACGCGGATTCCTACGCGGACACCTACGCGGATCCCAATGCGCACGGCGGCAGTGCCCGGAGCGCACGGGGGGGGGGAGCGTTACGTCATAGGGGGGGGGGAGCGGGGGCCATGACGCCCGTCATGCCCCAAGCAATAAAGAAATGGCCTCCGCGGCGTTGCATCGGCGATCCTCCGACCCCATCTACTCGGACCCCATCTAAGAAGCCTAGATGATTTGTCCCGACCCATTATTGACGATCCCAAGGCCGGGCGAGGGAGGCAAAAATACGGCAGACTCCCACCCGTCGCAATGTCTTCCACGGCGAAGAGAAGGCTGGGCAACTCCCGGTCCCGCCTGGCCATGCACCCAGCCGGCTCGTCGCCGGACCTCAGCCTCTGCTCGGCCACGGCCTCGCAGGGCAGCTTTTCCTCCTCCTCCTCCTCCTCCTTCTCCTTGTTCTCCTCCTTCCCTCCTCCTCCTCCTCCTGCTCCTGCTCCTCCTCCTCCTCCTCCTCCTCCTCCTCCTCCGCCTCCTCCTCCTCCTCCTCCTCCTCCTCCTCCTCCTCTTCTTCCTCCTCCGCCTCCGCCTCCCTCCTCCTCCTCCGCCTCCGCCTCCTCCTCCTCCGCCTCCGCCTCCGCCAACGCCTCCGCCAACGCCTCC